TGATCAGCTTTAGGTGTTTTCCTTGTACATTAGCACGTTCCAGCCAAGAGGATGAGAAGGGGCTGGGGCATCTTTAGGTGACTTGGAGATGCCCCCAAAAACTCTCTCCCATTCAGTTGATCTTCACATGTCTACACCAGGGTGCTCTGAGCCACCCTTGATTGAACTGACTTGTTCACTGGGACAGGCTGAAGCATCTTGTTCCTTGTCAGCCACTATAGGGCTGCTGAAGAAAACCTTCCCTGCTTGAATTAATGCAACACTGACCAAAGAAGTCAAGCCAGAGTTAACTAATTAGCTGGTACCTGGTGATGGTCACAGCAGCTGGATTGCCCAAGTGCCAGCACCTGCCTGCCTGGTGTGTGCACAGCCCACGTTGGTGGCACATGGAATTTGGCTGCAGAGCTGCAGCCAAAGAGCAGCAGCAGCCACTGTGCCCTGTGTGTGCTGTGAGGAGACCTGGCTGACAGCCCAGCCAAGGGGGTCTGGTAGAAACCCTGGTCAAGGACAGCTGGTGGACCCACCAGCCCTTCTGACCTGCATGTGCAGTGTGGTCCAGCCCAGTCCAAACACCCCCTGGTGTGCTCAGGGCTGCAGGGAACCAAGGAATTACAGAACAGTTTGAGTTGGAAGGGACCTTTATGATCACCCAGTTCCAAGCCCCTGCCATGGGCAGGGACACCTTCCACTAGCCCAGGTTGTTCCAACCTGGCCTTGAACACTTCCAGGGATACAGGGGCAGCCATAGCTTCTCTGGGCAACCTGTGCCAGGGCCTCCCCACCCTCACAGACAAGAATTCCTTCCCCATATCCCATCTAACCCTGCCCTCTGGCAGTGGGAAGCCATTCCCCCTTGTCCTGTCACTCCATCCTTTGTCCCAAGTCCCCCTCTCGGATTTCTCCTCCCTGTCTCGGAGCCCCTTTAGGCACCAGAAGGGGCTCTAAGGTGTCCTCGGAGCCTTCTCTTCTCCAGGCTGAACACCCCCGGCTCTCCCAGCCTGGCTCCAGGGCAGAGGTGCTCGTGGCCTCCCCTGGACTCGCTCCAGCAGCTCCACATCCTCCCTGTGCCGGGGACCGCGGAGCTGGAGGCAGCACCGCAGGTGGGGTCTCACCTGAGCGGGGCAGAGAGGGAACCGCCCCAACCCACCCCCAGGCTTGGCCGCTCGTGCCTGCGCTGAGTCCCAGCCGGGTCCTGCCCAGGGACCATCTCCCGGTGCCTTCAGCGCCATCGGGATCTCTCCAGCTCTCCCGCGCCCATCCCGGGAGCGCTCCCGGACCGCGGGCCGGGGCTGCCCCCGCCCGGCCGCCAGCGGGGCTGGAACGGCCCGGGCACCCAGGAGTTTTTATTCCCACCATAATTTTTCAATTTACAAGGCAATAAATGAAAGAGGAGGATGAGATCTGCTCGGCGCATTTTCCAGAAGTATTTACTGCTGAGAGCACTGCAAAAGCCATTTAAACAATTGCTTTTATGACACAACACACATTAAAGAAACTTCCCTAATTTTTTTTTTCACCCCTCTGCCATTTCGTGCCGTGCTGCTGCTGTTGTGTTCAGCTCGCTGCTTTATGGGCTGTTCGGATTTTAATTGGGCTGTAGCCCCAGGGAGCAGTGAAATTTTGGAGACTCATTTAGCTCTGAGTGTGCTCGCAGCTAATCGGGCAGAAAGGCTGGGTCCTGCCTTAATGTCTGCTGAAATTCTGTGAGCTGGAAAAGCCATGTGTGGGGAACAGAGCACACCCTGTGGGTGATGTGGGAACAGAGCACACCCTGTGGGTGATGTGGGTGATGTCCCTCCTGCCTGAGTGCTGGTGATCCCCACACCCCTGGTGGGGGGGATTCCTGGGGCGGGTTTTAGGGTATGGGTACTACGGCCACTTGATGCAATGAGAACCAGACTGAGGGCTGAGATGTTCAGGAAAGGCTTCTGCCAAGAAGAGGAGCACACCCCTAGCAGCAGACAGGACTAAAGACCTTTGGAGCTCCCTATGGTTTTTAAATTAATGTCATTAATTATAACTTAGTTAATTATAATTTTATTAATTATAATTTTTATTAATTGTAATTTATTATTTATTTGCATTTTAACCCACTGTTCCCAGTGGCCAGTAAGTGACACCTCAGGAGAGGGACAGCCCTCCACACTGCTAATGTGGGCTGGGAGCTGCAACCCATCTGCCATGTGTCCACAGGAACAGCAGCTTATGGAGACAGCCTGGGAGAGCTGGGGTTGTTCAGCCTGGAGAAGTCTCCGGGGTGACTTTAGAGCCCCTTTTAGTGCCTAAAGGGGCTCCAAGAAAGCTGGAGAGGGACTTTGGACAAGGAATAGAATGATAGGACAAGAGGGAATGGTTTCAAGCTGACAGAGGGTAGATTTAGATTGGATATCATGAAGAAATTCTTGGCTGTGAGGGTGGGGAGGCCCTGGCACAGGTTGCCCAGAGAAGCTGTGGCTGCCCCTGGATCCCTGGAAGTGTCCAAGGCCAGATTGGACGGGGCTTGGAGCAACCTGGGCTGGTGGAAGGTGTCCCTGCCCATGGCAGGGGGTGGAACTAGAGGAGCTTAAAGGTCCCTCCGACACAAACCATTCCGTGATTCCAGGATGCTGTGACAAGGATGTGACGACAATCCCAGGGACATCGCACCCTGTTGTGTCCCTGGCCGTGCCCCTCGGTGCCGGCGGGGTTCGGAGGGGCTGGGGCGGCTCTCGGGGGGCTCAGGCGGGGGGTCCCCGCTGGGTCCGTCCCGGTCCCGCAGTTCCCGCAGCAGCCACCGGGCGGTGCCCGCGCCCCGCGATGGGAGCGGTCCCGCCCCACCCCCGGCACCGGGGAGAGCCGGGATGGGGGAATTAAGGAAAAAAAACGTCAAAAGAGGCCCGTTGGAGGCCAAAGCAACCGTGCTGGAAGGTCTCGCCCAGCAGCTCCTGTCTCCACTGGCCATCAAGCTGTGGGACGTGTTTGCAGCCACGGTGGAGAGCCAAGGAAACAGGGTTCAGCGTCATCCAATCCTGCGGTCAGACCAGAGGAGACAGTTTCATAGAATTACAGAATCATAGAATCTCCTGAGTTGGAAGGGACCCACAAGGATCATCCAGTCCAATTCCTGGCCCTACATAGACACCTCAGCAATCCCACCCTCTCCCTGAGAGCGTTGTCTAAACCCTCCTGGAGCTCTGGCAGCCTTGGGGCTGTGCCCACTGCCCTGGGGAGCCTGGGCAGTGCCCAACCAGCCTCTGGGGGGAGAACCTTTCCCTAATATCCAGCCTAAACCTGCCCTGACACAGCTTCATGCCAGTTTGGTTTGGGGGGACATGAAGGGGATGTCAACTCTGCTTCAAATCAGAGGCAGTTCCCCTTTGGACCTTTCCAAAAGGGATTCAACCCTTCACACTGTTTCCACTTTGGAAAGTCACCTTGTTCCACGTTCTTCCAAACATGCATCCCTGAATTGAAGCAACTGTGCAACCCCAAGATATGAACTGATGCCACTCACTTGTTTACACTGTGAATGGCCAAAGAGCAGAGGCAAAACTGAAGCACTCAGCTGTTTTGTGCCTTCTGAGATGTTGATCCAAAGCGAGGAAGAGCATCTTTAATTTCCCCACAGGAGGGGAAAAAACACCTGTGTTCCTACCTGCTCCTCAGAAGGGAAATATTTTTCCCCTTTGCCAGGTGCTGAACCCACTGACCCAGGATGACCCTGAGTTCCAGTGCTGCAGCTCACAGGGGCTCAGATGCTGCTTCAACAAGGGAAATCCCCCCCCAGGCTTAGTCAGAGCTCAGCAAAATGAGCACAGAGGGAAATGCACTGTGAGGGTGGGGAGGCCCTGGCACAGGTTGCCCAGAGAAGCTGTGGCTGCCCCATCCCTGGAAGTGTCCAAGGCCAGGTTGGATGGGGCTTGGAGCAACCTGGGCTACTGGAAGGTGTCCCTGCCCGTGGCAGGGGGTGGAATGAGATGAGCTTTAAGGTCCCTTCAGACCCAAACAAGTCTGTGATTCTTCGGTGTCCTTGCCCATGGCAGAGTGTTAGAAAAGATGGTCTTTAAGGTCCCTTTGAACACAAACCATCTGTGACTCCATGAAATACTGTCAGACCACCACCAGGAGCCCTGGCCATCAGGGGTGGTCACACCGCGCTGCCCAGGCCCTGGCACAGGGGATTCCACGCGGCTCCTACTCCTTTCCCCGGGGAGTGGCTGGGCTGAGGGCTTTGGGACGTGGCCTGATGTTAATAGCTGGCCTCAAGGGGCAGCCTAGCAAGAGCCATGGTGTCTCTGCCAGCAGCAGTTGCCACATCACTTGGATGTTTAATGGCCAGGGGATGAGGCAGCGGAAGCGCGAGCGGTCCCGTGCCAGCTGTTCCTGCTGCACACACTGCACCACGTGCTAATCCCCCCACGGCTGCACCCCCACCTGGGGGGGGGTTGGCACTCAGGACTGAAAGGCTTCTGCTGTTTGTGCCGAGTGGCAGACCCAGCTGGATCTCCCCAGGCAGCTCATGCTGACCAGAACCATCCCTGCCCAGGGGGGACAACTGTGGTCCTTCCACCCACTGGCTTTGGGACATTGGTGGTGGCCTTACTGTGGTATTGCAGTACCTGAAGGGGTTCCAAGAGAGCTGGAAAGGGTCTCTGGACAAGAGTATGTAGTGATAGAACAAGGGAGAATGGGTTTAAACTGACAGGGTGCAGGTTTAGATTGGATATTGGGAAGAAATTCCTTACTCTGAGGGTGGTGAGGCCCTGGCACAGGTTGCCCAGAGCAGATGTGGCTGTCCCATCCCTGGAAGCGTTCAAGGCCAGTTTAGACAGGACTTGGAACAACCTCGTCTAGTGGAACGTGTCCCAGCCCATGGAGATCATCACCATGAGATCATCTTTAAGGTCCCTCCAACCCAAGCCATTCTGTGATTCCATGATTCCATGGGATGGCCATGGAAGCAGGCTGGTGGAGCACAGCCCACCTCTAACCCCCCAAAGACACCAAAAAGCAAAAGCATCTGAGTTATTCTGACTTTTATTTCATTGCTTCTTAGTCCACACAGTCGGTATAAAATCAGAAAAAGCAAAGCGAAAAAAAAAGTAGAACCCCAAAAAACCCCAAAATTAAACAAAAAACAACAGCAAGAGTGTCTGGAGTCCTCAGAGGCAGCCTGGGGTCTGTGCTGGTGCCTGTTCAATTCATGGCCAGACACTTTGCTGACACAGACAGAGGACAGACATCTCGCTCTGGCACCAGGGAGCGACCGCTCCAGCCAGAGCTGTTTCTGTTCCTCTGGACCACGGAGGGGGGAAAAGGAACCTTGGTTATAAATGCTTTATTAAAAATAATAGTAAGAGCAAATCTAAGTACAAAAGCAGTTATAGCTCCATTATATTACACAGAATTATTCCTCATTTCTAGCTCGGTTGTTTTACCTCAAGGTCGTTAACTGAATTTCCAGTGACTAAGGTTAAATGGCCTAGCGGGATAAGGAATGGTAAATAGATAGCACCATTTCATACAATCTGGGGGTTCCTTTCAGGGATATGCTGGGTTGGATTCTTTCTCATGGGCAGTTTTCGCTCCATGGCAAGGACAGAGCACGTTTTCACGGGTGGGAGCAGCAGTTCCTGGTGGCTCAGCCTGGCACAGCTTGGCACGGCTTGGCACACACCCCAACCCCACCGGAGGACGGCCCGGGCTGGACTGCAACTCAGCCTAAGTGATTTAAAGCCCAAATTCCCAGCGGGTGTGGTGGCAAGGCAATGGGACTTAGGCACATAAGTCATTTAGGCACTTGGGGCAATCAAAGCCTTTGCTCCGAAATCCTTCCAACCCTTTGGAAGCGTCTCCCGTCAGATCCGGACGTGCACTTTGGTTACCAGGATCACAGCATGTGGCAGGAGCAGGGAGCAGCCCTCTGGCTGAGTAAACAGGCCTAACTCTGATTTACACCAGCCTGAAACCAGTCAGAGCTGGGGGTTCTGATGGTTCAACGGGCTGGGAGAGGGGAGGAGAGTTCAGCTCAGGGAGGATTTTGCACGAGAGAAGAAATCACTGCGCTCTTGTTACACTGTTAGGAGTTATAGTTCCTTAGGCACTTGCTTTAGGCTTTAAAACAGCGCATGGTCAACAAAAGCAAACAAGACTATGTACATATATGTAAAAAGTGTTATAAATAGGTTTTTTAAACCATAGATACTATATACATCTTCAATTAACAAGTAACCCTTTGAGTGTTTCCTTTTGGGGGGGGGTCGGTTGGGGTCGGGTTTGGTGGGAAGGTTCATTCCTTCTCTTTTTTTGGGGGGGGTGTTTTAGGGGTGGGGTGGGGTTGTTTTTTTTTGGTTTTTGGTTAATTTTCTTTCCCGTTTTCTCGTCTATTTTCCCCCTCCTCCGTCTCCTCCGTGGACGTCACGAGTGCCCTTGTCACACCCCATCACCAGCGCCGGGCGTCACTCGCGCTTCCGTAGGATGACGTAGATGATGCCGCTGGCCAGCGCCAGGGGGAAGGCCAACCACGCCAGGATGTAGGCGAAGCCGTAGGTGGTGTTTTCCGAGGCTTGGTGCCAGTCCGTGTGCCTCACTGTGAAGATGGCAGCGCCACTCATCACGCACAGCCCTGCCAGGAGCAACACAGGGAAGGGGTCAGTGGTGCCACTGCTGCCTGAAATTTCTTACAAGAATCACTGAATCAGCTGGGTTGGAAAAGACCCCCAAGATCATCAAGTCCAACCCACTGTGGTTCCCAGACCATGGCACTGATGCCACATCCAGTCTGTCCTTAAACACCTCCAGGGATGGTGACTCCACCCCCTCCCTGGGCAGCCCATTCCAATGGCTGATCCCTCTCTCTGGAAAAAAGCTCTTCCTGATATCCAGCCTAAATCTCCCCTGGCACAGCTTGAGACCGTAAGAAACCCCCTTAGACTCGATTTATGAGGTTTAGAAGGCAACATTTTCTTCTATCACAAGAATCTAATTTCTTCCAAAGCGTGCATAACTGAGTTACAAAAACCTCTTGCTTTTACTTACTTACTAAATTAACAATTCAAAGCATTACCTAATTAACAATTCAAAGCATTACCTAACACTGCTACACCCACTTCCAAAACCGTCCCTCCCACAGCACCGCCCTCACCATGCCTCCCAAATCTGAGCAGGAAGTCCCAGAAGACCCCTATCTTCATCTCTTCATCCTCCTCCTCATCTCCTTTGTCACAGTGTCACACCTTCTGGAACAATTTCAAGGCTCCTGAGTAGCTCTGACTGCCTACCAGGTGTTAAGTCTCTTTCTCAGTACATTTCCACAGGTAAAAAAAACTCTTTACCTCGCTCTGTTGAGGTCCTTAACAATGATAAACAGCATTTTATGAATATTGTACAAAGGTACTAACAAGCTAAGCTGGAAATTTATACAATATAGGTGTTATGCCTATACCATGTATGGACTATCCCCCACTGGAATGAGCCAGACAGGATGATCCCCAACACCAGCATGGGAGAATGTTTATTATTGCCTCCTTGTATCCTGTCTCCTGGAAAACTGAGTATCTCCTGTCTCCTGATTTGAGGGTTGATGCTGTTGGCTCTACAGGTGAGAAGGGATATCTCTGCCATGATCAGCAAGCAAAACCAGAGCCCTGGAGCAGGCAAAGCTGGAGCACTGCCCGGGCTCACCCATCCCTTGGGCAGCCCCAGCTCCAGGCTGCTGCTCCAGATCAGCCCCACTGCTCTGGGTGGCTTGTTTAAAACTCAGGCTGCAGCCTGACCCACCTTCCTGAGGTGCTGCAAGAGGTCAGACATGAAACCGGGTTTTTTTTAAGTTTCTTTCTCACCTGTCCAGGTGGTAAAGAACACAAAGAGCTGGGCCTCAGGGTGCTCTGGCCGAGCAGGGTCTGTGATTTCCCCATTCTTCATGGCTGTGCCAGGAGCTCAACTGCAAACCCCACTCCCTGCAAACCCCATTCTCTGAACACCTCACTCCCTGCAGACCCCATTCCCCGAAGATACCAATCCCTGAAAACCCCATTTCCTGAAAATCGCAGTCCCTTAAAACACTGTTTCCTGCAAACCCTGCTCCCAGCAAACCCCAATCCCTGCAAACCCCACTCCCTGAAAACCCCACATCCTAAAAACCCCCACTCTCTAAAAACCCCATTCCCTTGAAAAACCTCACTCCCTGCAAACCCTGTTCCTTGAAAACCCCAGTAACAGTCCCTGAAAACCCCAGTACTTTCAAACCCTACTCCCGGAAAACCCTGTTCCCTGAAAACCCCATTTCCCTAAAAACACCATTCCCTTGAAAACTCGGTTCCCTAAAAACCCTGTTCCCTGAAAACCCTGTTCCTTTGAAAAGCCTGTTCCACTGCAAACCCTGTTCCTTGAAAACCCCACTCCCTGCAAGCCCCACTGTGCCCGTGGCTCATCCCTCTTCCCCACTGCTGGCACCCACCCTGTCCAGCCAGGGGCCACTGTGGGTCCCCGAGGGGTGTCCAGCCAGGCCCAGCCCTGGCAGGCAGAGTTGAAGCTTTGTTGCAAAGCCCCCGTGAGCGCTGGGCTCACACAAAGCCACCTCTATTCCTGCCCGAAAACAAGCTCTTTTAGTCAATCCCAGCAGTTCCATTATACAGTCGTGGGGCTGTTGTTGGAGCCGAGTTCCAAATCCCCTGCACGGACCTCAGGACCACCTACATTTAACCACCGTGATATTTGAGCTGCAATTCCACTTGACACTGCTCCTTTTGTTCTGGGAAAGTGCACAAGTGGGAATACGCTTCATTAAGGCGCTGCTGGAGCAGTTTCCATTCTCCCAGCACGGAGCCGACTCCCACTGCCCAGCCCATGCACAGAGAGCACAGCCATTGTCTGCCCAGCCTGTGGGACAGGGACGGGCCTGTGGCCACCCCAGTCACCTCCAGACAGCGAAAATACAGCAGCAATTGTCCCCAGGAGGAATTGGGCAGAATGGAGGCGATGGCTGGGACTGCACTTGTACAGCATCTGCACTGGTTTGGGCGTGGAGAACAAACTGGGAAGTGAGGGACAGCTGGATCCAGCTGCCTGCACCAATGAAAGCAATAATGCATCACCACTTTGGAGCGTGATTTTAAGAATGCTCTAGTTTTGCTTTGACAGGTCAGGAGGGCAAATACATCCTGGGATCTGTTCCCACAGGTCTGTGTGTGCTGGCGCTGCCCCAGCCCTCCAGAGGAACCAGGCTGGGTGATGGTGCCAGCTCCAGGTCGGCTCTCCAGACCCAGGGGTTTGCAAAAAGCTGTGGGATATGTGGCAGGCACAGCCCTCGAGGCTGAGCCCACCCTCTCCACCCCACAGCTCTGGGGTGGGAGGGATGGGAGAGAAGGGATAGAAGTGATGATGAGACTGGAGAAGAATAGAAAAGTTGGGTCAAACCCCAATAAGTCCAAACCAACGTCTCTCCCAGGCTGGAATGACACAGCTATGAGGAGTTACCCGTGGATGTGATTGACCCAGCAAGGGTGGAGGGGAGCTGTCAAGGGTCTTTTGTTGCCCTTTTGTCAGCTGCAAATCCCATCAGGGCAAATCCAAGTAGTCTTTAGGATTCCAAGCAGTGTGGAGAAGGTGCTGGTGATGATCCTGCCTGGCCACTGCACAACAGACCCCAGTGGCTTCATGCATCTCTTCTTGCCCTTCTCTCCACTCCCCACTGTCCCTGAGCTAAGTTGTAGTGGAAACCAGCCCCTGCCCTCCTCCCTGGCTCTCAGGGCACCACTGCCAAGCTCTGCCACCCAACAGCACCCAGTGGTCCCGCCCCTGGCACCCACTGGTTCAGGTCCAGCACTGCTGTTTGCCAGGTTCCAAAGCTAGAGACCCTCAGCCTTGCCAGGCTGCAGCACCCTGGGAGGAGGTGCAGGGTGATGGAGGGCTTCAGGCAGAGCCTCCTCATCCCCTCCCAGAAGGAGGAAGGTCCTCTCCAGCTCTGCTGCAGCTGAGAACAAAGCACTCAGGTGGGTAAGACCCCATCCCTGGCAGATCTGCTGCAGGGCTCTGTGGTGCCAGGGCTTGGCAAGGCATGGATGAACACCTGCAAAGCCTGAAGGCCTCAGGAATTTCCTTCCTTGGCTTCAGACAGCAGTGGCTTTCCACAACAAGCTGCAAGGAGGCCACATCAGGTTCGGCTCCTGTGACCAAAGCTGTCTGTACCTCCAAGGGGATCTCCTGGCAGTGCTGGCACAGCCGTGCCCTGTTTCCTACCAACAACCCTGAAATTTAGGGTCACAGAGATCACAGCTGTCCTGTGCCCCCTCCTCCAGCCCTGGAAGCTTCATGGGGATCAGGTCACACTTCTTCTGTCTTTCATACTGGCTGGGGATGGATTTGACCCACACCTCAGATGCTGCATCCCCTTAGGACACCCAGCACAGCATGGACAGGAGGGCTGCAATCCCCATTTTCTCCTCCTCTGACAATGAGGATTCACCAGCAATCACTCAGGAGAGAGAAGCCTTCTGCTCCCAGGTCTATTAGACAGGCTCTCAGGCAGGTAATTGCATTATTAATGCCCATTTCCCTTCCTTGTCTCCATGGCTCTAATGGGTTTTCTACACATCCACCTTTCCAGAGATGCTGAACTGATCTGAACTCACCACCTGCATTATGGCCAAGCAGATGCACTTATCATAGATTTCATGCCAATAAAGGTTAGTTCTAAACTTCTTCAGGGTGTGTGAAGGCCAGGCACTTAGAGGATACTCAGAGACTTTGTCTATACTCAGTGGATGAGTTTTTACCACTGACTTAGTGGGCTAGGGTGGCTTCTAGTTTAACATCTAAAGCTCTAGGAAATGATTAATCTCCTCCCCAGACACCCTGTCATAATGCAGCCAGAACCTCGAAGCACAATTAAATTTTTCTAGCCTGAACACTTGAAAATCCTCGCCACTGGTTTCATATGTGGAAACATAAACAGAGTCAGAGGCTTTACAGCATCTATATTTGGGAACTGCAACATAGGACATGAACTGTGGCTTGTTTCCAGCATCAAGTTCTTTAAGAGTTAAAAATAGTAGCTGACAGTTCCAAGTCAGCTGGCTCAGCCTGCAGCTCCAGCGGCTCTTTGGTGATGTGGAAAGCACCAGCCCCCCTCATGGCAAGTTTATAAATAATCACTGGGTCCTCTTTTGCTGAAACAGGATTGTCAGGACTTCCCCCACCCCACCAGCAGCTGTGGAAGCCTCAACCAGACCAGCAAAGGTGTGTCCCAGAGCCAGCACAGACACCCTGGACCCTTCATGTCCCACCCTGAGCCCTGGGGAGAGCAGGCAGAGCCCTCAGTCTGGCAGCCCCCATGACCTGCTTGCCCCCAGCTCTGCCCCCAGTGGGTCTGACACCTTGTCCCTCTAAAACCTCCCTGGCTGGGGCAGCAACCCTCTTGCACCTTCCACGGTGCAAGGGCAGAAGAGCCTGGATATGCCCTGACAGACAGATCCCATCCCGGGCCGTGCGGGACCTCAACACACCCAAATTATTCCTCCCCTCTTCCCTTCACTAGGCCATGCAGGGACCAGGTCCACGGCCCTCCTGCCCCTGCACCCAGGACTGTGCTTGTTCCCACACCACCCTCTCCTGTGCCTGGCAGCCCCATCCCCAGCAGTGACAGCCCCATCCCTCAGCCCCCACTCACCAGCAAGGATCTGGAAGACTCCGGTGATGTAGAACCTGCCGCCCTTGGTGAGCGTGAACAGCTGGCAGAAGAACAGGAACAGGGACAGGACGCTGAAGATGACGGAGAGGATCATCATGGCTTGGACAGACTGCAGCCATTCTGGGGACAGACAGACAGACAGATGGACACCTCACATGTGGGAACCGCACATCACAGCCCACCACTGTTCCCATGGCCCTGGCACCAGGTCCTGTGCCACCATCCCACCCCTGGATCCCACGGAGTTTGTTAACAGTGACAAACAGTGACAAGCAGTGACAGACTGGACGAGACCACATCCAGTGCTGCAGCAGCTGGTGAGGTTCTCAGCACTCAGCACAGGATGCTCCCCAAGATTTAGGATGCCATGGGGTAAAATGAATTGCAGGGCCAGGCACTGCCTCGGGGAGCATTTCCCATTAAAGAGGAGCAGGGAGATTAGCCCTGACCTAAAGCCTGCAGAAAACAAAGCCTCTCCCCCAGCTCCATGCCAGGCCCTGGTTGTTCAGCTGTGCTACAGACACAAAGCCATGTGCAACAAGCTGTGAGACACCGTGCTGGCCAAGCTCCGAGGGCAAATAAATACACAGGGAGTGAAAACACCCTCTGCCCTTGTGGAGTCAAACCTTTTGGAAGAGCCTTCCCCAGCTGCCAAACGCAGCTGCCTCCCAGAGCAGACCAGTTAAACCAGCCCCTGCATGACTCACTGCCCAGCTATTTCCAGGCTTAGTGGGTGTGTAACGCCCCACGCAAAAAAAAATATACATAAACAAGCAAAACGCGGCTCCATCCCATGAGCTGCTGCAGCCTGACAGAAAGAGGCAGCTCCTGAGGGCACTGGGATGTGACCACGCTCACAAACACCTCTGCCTTCCCCTTTCCTTAGTAAGTCTGAAGCCAAAATGTGTATTTGCAGCCTTCCTTGAGAGGTCTCTGAGGATGCAACATCAATAACTCACCGTGAAAACCAGCAGGACTCAGTACAGGTAAACTGAGGCACAAACCACGCAGTGCAAGGCAGAAGAATCATGCTTTGGGCTGGATCCTCAGGTGGGATTAGGGAGCACTGAAGCCTCAGGCTCAGTCCCATGTTCCTGCCAGTTTTACTGTCACCAACTTCAGTCCCCTGACTGCAAGAACCAGCTTTCTGCAGCAAATAGCTGAAATGTAGCAAAACTTCCAAATAAAGCTGTGCTGTCACCTCTAACACCTGGAGCAGCAAATGAGGCCACTGGGACTGTCCAGGGCAGTGTCTGCTCCAGAGAACTGATCACTCCTCCCCACCAAATCCCTGCAAGCTGCACTCAGGGAGGTGAGAGAGGAATTGGAACTGGAGAGTGAGGCACAGCCTTCAACTGGGATGGCAATAATGATCCGTGCCTGAGCCCTCCCAACAAATCCATGCCCGTGGGGAACATCCTGTGCCACTCAGTCACGTCTGCTGTGTTTGACTTTGGACCAGCAATTCCGCCCCTTGTCTTTGCATCTTGCCTCAGGACGATCATGTAATGGAGCAAACTCAGTCCCTGGAACCACCCAGAGAGGCCCCTGCTCATCCCAGACAGCCTTTTCCTTCCCCTCCTTGACACGCTTCCCGTGCCAAACTACTCTGCAGCATCAACAAGCTGCTGCACTTCACTCACTCCAGGGCACTGGGTTCCCCCTGCACCAGCTGCTGCCATTCCTTAGGAAGGAGCAGCTACCACTGCTTCCAGGAAAGCCCTGTGTGGTGGGATGTGCACACAAATATCCAATATATTCCATCTATCTCATGCAGCCAGGCAGGGAAACCCCCTTGCCTCACCCCCACCTGCCCCTTCAGCTCTGGCCATGATCCACCTCTGGGAAACAGGGATGAGGCAGATCCAGCACCACCAAAAATCATCATATCAGAAGGGACCAGGGAAGTGGGTAGGTGGTGCAGTGCTGAACTGCAATCACCCTCCACCCTTCAGCACAGAGAGACTCTCATCCCAGCTCTGGGAAGCTGAGCTTTCCTCTCACCCTTTCCCAAGCCCTGAAGCCACGTCCAGCCCCCTGCACTGGCTGAGCCAAAGTCAAGCCCTACAGTTTCATCCAGGACCCAGAAAGCCAAGTCTTTTGTGATTTCAAAGGCCATGGGATCCGGCCCGGAGAGGAGCCCTTTCTGCTCGGAGGTGGACGCTCCAACTGCTGGTTATTTTCGGAGAAGTCTGTCTAGACGGAAAGCTGAGCTGAGCTGAGCTGCCCTTTAATTGCATCCGCCTCCCCGTGCCTGTTTTTTGGTTCTGAATGCAAATGATTTATAGGGGCTTTGCAAAATCCCATTGTGATAAAGGGCCGTGCCAGAGGAATATAAAAGTGGGCACTGAGGGGGGAGCCCACCGGGGCCGGAGGGTTTCGGCAGCCAGAGAGCAGAGTGAGCCTGTGAGCAGAGAAACCAGGAGACAATTCCACAGACCAGAGCTCTGAACCTGCTCACATCCAGCCCTTTGCTGGCTTTGCTTGGCCTCCTTTGCGAGAACAAGGGGCAGCATCCCCAGCCCAGGACTCAGAGATCCACGAGCTGCTCTTCTCCTTTAACTCCAAGCCCAGCTTACCACAGACTTCAGCTGTACGAGGACAGCTAATTGCCTCTAATTCGTTTAAAATCAGCCCTATAAGTGCAGATCGATTTTTACCTCCTCAGCCCCGCATCCTTTTAACTCCTTTGCTGTCAGTGCTGTGTCCTGCCCACAGCCTTTCACAAACACAGCGAGTTTCCCGGAGGGAGGCCGGGCCGGGAGCTGCACCACGGGCTGTCAGCACTGTTTACTCCCAGCCCGTTATTTGTGGTTTCCCCTGGCCAGCAAGTCGGTTGTTCCATTTTTCTCCTGCATCTCTGCTGCTCTGTGTTTGTATCTTTGTTCTTCAGGAGGAGGAAGAAAAGGAAACAGCGTGGAAAGGACAGATAACACCCTGCATGCTGCTTCCGGAGAGGACCCATCGGGAGGGGCTTTAGAGCCCTTTCAGAGCAGTCAGAAACAAAGCAAGAAGGTTTTACAAAATAAATTCGAATTTTCCCCGAAGTTCTGCAAGCCCTGATGTGCCCACACCCCTGCTGACAACAGCAGGGAGGAGATTTCACCCCTGGGATGCTGAAGAACACATTTCACTGCCCTAAAGTCCAACATGAAAGAAAGAAACCCAGAGGAGAAAGTGGAACCTAGAGCAGAAACTGCAGCTGAATCCCACAGAAATACAGCAGCAAACACAACCCCTTCCAGCAGAGCCCCAGCCCTGCTTGCAGGGAGGTTTTATACCCAGACAGGACTGACAGGGAGAAACATATCCACGGCCTTAAAGGACAGGCATTGCCTCCCCGGGGTTTAATTCACACACTCCCCACCCTCTTTGGACCCAGCCAAGGACAAAGAATAAAATGCAAACTGCAAAGACACTTATTTGAGCAATCAGCTTATTCCATCACTGTAAAACATCATTACATTAGTGCTGTGCTTTAAAAGCACCTGAGTGCTGGGACCTGCCGCTGATGGGAATATTTTGCAGATAGATTTTCCCTTTGCAAACTGTGTATGCACTCTACACTTAAAAAGCAACCACTTCTGGGGAGGAAAACATCCATGAAGGAGGTAATTGTAGCAATTATAACATATACAAAGCTAGAGGGAGGGGAAATTCATGATCAACAACTGCATGGTAAAACCTGCCCCTTCAATGCTGCAAACTAAATATCAGCAGGGTCAGGAACAGCATGGGGACCTACTGGCACAAAGATACCAGCCCAGGTCTGCCAGGAAAAGCCATGTTTTCTGAGCAGAATTGCCAGAGCAGACTCCCAGGTTTCAAGGTCTGACCAAGAACCTGACCCCAGCTCACTTCTTTGGCCTATAAAGTGGAAAGGTCGCATCAAAGCAGTGGGTTTGATATTGAAACACCCCTTAAGATGGCTGGAAAAGGCTGAGCTGAAGATGCAGAAATGTCAGTTTAATTGCCTCGTTCTTTTGGTGCTGCACTTTGGACTGAGGCCCCTCAGCAACTCGCTGAAGCAACTCAGAAAGGCAAAAAGGCTCAGCCCCTGCAGTGCTGCTCCTGCACTGCCCAGACCCACACCCCAGAGCTCCAAGGGAACATCTCTGCTGTTGGGGAGAACTGCATCACAGTCCATCCAGCAGAGCCTCTGACCTCTGCTCAGATTCCCTGGGATTTCCCAGGGAAATCCAGCTCCATGACACTGCAACTTTATCTTGCTTTGGCCCCAGACCTCCCACAGGCACACAGTCAAACCTGCCCCGGCTGGTGCTGCTGGATGCTCAAACCAGGAAAAGCAGGTTTTGCACCCAGAAGACCACAGGGTGCTGGACTGAGGCATTCCTGGAAATCCCACCAGAAAAGGGCTCCCAAGGTGTTTGTAAGGGCTGGGGATGAGCGGGTGGGAAACGCCGGCGCTGCAAGGACGTAATGAATGAACACAGTGCTGTAATTCCTGCCCCTGAAGAAAGAGACCTCCTGGCCCTCTTCTGTAGCTCCTTCAGAAGGAGATGAACCTCTCAAACCCCTGTTTTCCCCTCTCCTCCTCTTTTCCTCTCGGCTCTCCTCCCTTTGCCTTCTCCTTGGAGCTCCACCCAAGCAGTCCATGAGGCCAAGCTGTCCATAGCTCTCTGGAGCTGCCACACTCAGACATCCCATCACACCATCAAAGCTCACCTCCCACAGGGGAAACCTCTGATGCAGCTGAGGCAGCAGAAAGCTCTGGCACCATGAAAAGCACCTTCCAACAGCTCCACAAAGCCCAAACCAGCTCCTCTCCAAGACCCTTGGCGTGGTGGCTCTGACTCCCTTTGGCTGGTGTGTGAGAGTGAGCTGAGGTGGCAGATCCATCACTCCAGGCTCAGATCCTCCAAAGGCCTTAGGTACCAGCTCCCAGGGATTTCAAGTCCAGGCACCAGGAGCAGGGATGGGCAGTGGTGGTGCCCTGACCCACAGGCACATTGCAAGGGGACACACAGCCCGTGGCCTCAGGGACATCCAAGAGTCTCATCAAGGCCAAAAAAATGTTGGATTAAGGGTTTTCCAGCACTGCACTCTGCAGGGGACTCCCCCATCCATTCTTCTGGTTTGACAGTCATCGTTAGCCCACA